GTCCATGAGATTTTTGAAAGCAACAATACTTGAGTGGGCTGCCAAGCCTTCCTCCAGGGTATAGTCCTGATTCAGGAATCAAATCCACATCTCTTCTGTCTCCTGCATTGGCAGACATTTAATATTAAGGAATCAAATAAGTGTATCCAAGAAAATTTGCTTACTGTAAACATAATTAAAGGTCTAGCCAATAAAGAGGAAAAATGCTGGCAGAATGCACATCAGAAATAAAGATTTGATCATAATTATAGAATATGGTATAGAACACAGAGAAATAAGATGCAGGATGAAAGCATAGATTCCCCATGGAAGAAATTAAGGTATATGGACTGAAAATTAAAAAAAAACAAAAACATTAAGGGACTTTGAATATTTCAGGGAGTATTAATGTAATATACAAACATATACACAGAAACTCACACTCACCCATACAAAGAAAACACACTGGAAAACTTAAAATAGACTGTACCAAATTACAAAAATTTATAGAAAAGAAATATGACTCACAAATTCTACACATTGCCAAAATGTTATTCAATTATGAGAACAAAAAGACATCCACAGATGTGAGATTAGGGACGCATGCTATTTGCACATTCCTTCTGAAGAAAATAATCTAACTAATCCACCTAGAAAATATTCTAACCAAATAATACCTGAGTTGGCAGAAAACTGCAGTGAAGAAAAAATGCTTCAAAAAAGTAGGAAAGGAGTATATCTACCTAAAGAAACAAAAGAACTATACATAGAAAACTATAAAACACTGATGAAAGAAATCAAAGAGGACACAAATAGATGGAGGAATATATCGTGTTCATGGATTGGAAGAATCAATATTGTGAAAATGAGTATATTACCCAAAGCAATCTATAGATTCAATGCAATCCCTATCAAGCTACCAACAGTATTCTTCACAGAACTAGAACAAATACTTTCACAATTTGTATGGAAATACAAAAAACCTCAAATAGCCAAAGCAATCTTGAGGAAGAAGAATGGAACTGGAGGAATCAACCTGCCTGACTTCAGACTATACTACAAAGCTACAGTCATCCAGAGAGCATGGTACTGACACAAAGACAGAAATACAGATCAATGGAACAAAATAGAAACCCCAGAGATAAATCCATGTACCTACGGACACCTTATCTTCGACAAAGGAGGCAAGAATATACAAGGGAAAAAAGACAACCTCTTTAACAAGAAGTGCTGGGAAAACTGGTCAACCACTTGTGAAAGAATGAAACTAGAACACTTTCTAACATCATACAGAAAAATAAACTCAAAATGGATTAGAGATATAAATCTAAGACCAGAAACTATAAAACTCCTAGAGGAGAACATAGGCAAAACACTCTCCGACATAAATCACAGCAGGATCCTCTATGACCCACATCCCAGAATTTTAGAAATAAAAGCAAAAATAAACAAATGGGACCTAATGAAACTTAAAAGCTTTTGCACAACAAAGGAAACTATAAGCAAGGTGAAAAGACAGCCCTCAGATTGGGAGAAAATAATAGCAAATGAAGCAACAGACAAAGGATTAATCTCAAAAATATACAAGCAACTCCTCCAGCTCAACTCCAGAAAAATAAATGACCCAATCAAAAAATGGGCCAAAGATCTAAACAGACATTTCTCCAAAGAAGACACACAGATGGCTAACAAACACATGAATAGATGCTCAACATCACTCATTATCAGCGAAATGCAAATCAAAACCTCAATGAGTTACCATTACATACTAGTCACAATGGCTGCTATCCAAAAGTCCACAAGCAATAAATGCTGGAGAGGGTGTGGAGAAAAGGGAACCCTCTTACACTGTTGGTGGGAATGCAAAGTAATACAGCCACTCTGGAGAACAGTGTGGAGATTCTTTAAAAAACTGGAAATAGAACTGCCATATGACCCAGCAATCCCACTCCTGGGCATACACACCGAGGAAAACAGAACTGAAAGAGACACGTGTACCCCAATGTTCATCACAGCAGTGTTTATAATATCCAGGGCATGAAAGCAAACTAGATGTCCAACAGCAGATGAATGGATAAGGAAGCTGTGGTATATATAGAAAATGGAATATTACTCAGCCATTAAAAAGAATTCATTTGAATCAGTTCTAATGAGATGGATGAAACTGGAGCCTATTATACAGAGTGAAGTTAGCCAGAAAGATAAACACCAATACAGTATACTAATGCATACACATGAAATTTAGAAAGATGGTAACAATAACCCTATATGCAAGACAGAAAAAGGGACACAGATTATAGAACAGACTTTTGGACGCTATGAGAGGAGAAGGTGGGATGTTTAGAGAGAACAGCATTGAAACATGTATATTATCAAGTGTGAAACAGATCACCAGTCCAGGTCAGATGCAGGAGACAAGTTCTCGGGGCTGGTGCACTGGAATGACCCAGAGGGATGGGATAATGAGGGAGGTGGGAAGGGGGTTCAGGACGGGGAACACATGTAAATCCATGGCTGATTCATGTCAGTGTACGGCAAAAACCACTATAATATTGTAAAGTAATTAGCCTCCAACTAATAAAAATTAATGAAAAAAATTCAAGTAATTAAAGCAATACCTACATAGTTTAAACAAGAAATATATTAGTAAATTGAGCAATGTTACAGAGTATAAAGTTAACATAGAAAATCATTTGTGTTTCTACAAACTAACAAACTGTCAGAAAGAGAAATTGACAAAATAATTCCACTTACAATAGCATCCAAAAGAATAAAATATTTTTGATTAAATTAAACCAAGGAAGAGAAAGACCTGTAATCTAAACCTATAGTACACTGATGAAAGGAATTATGATACAACGGAAAGAGACCCAGTGGTCATGGATTGGAGGAATTCTTATGGTTATAATGCCTATAGCACCTGAAGCAATCTGCAAATTCAATGTGATTCCTATACAATATCTAATGGCATTTTTCACAGAACCAGAGAAAATGATCCAGAAATTCTTATGTAGCCACAAAAAAAAAAAAAAAAGAATACGCAAATAACCTTGATAAGGCTGAGGTATCACATTTCCTGATTCAAACGACATTAAGCCTTCTCTTTCCTTCAATCTTTTCCAGATGAACCATCGCCTATTAAGTTTTGTCCTCAACATATTAGAAGAAGAAGAGCAAAATAAACCTGAAGCACAGTATCAGGGAGAAAAGAAATACAGCAAAACGCTGTGACATTGAAAATAAGATAACAGTGAAAAAATCAAAGCAAGAAACAGTAGGTTCTTTGATATCTGCAATAAATTGAAAAATCTCTAGTAATACTGACAGTTAAGAAAAGAGGAGTCACATATCAACAAGGTCTGAAATGAACCAGCTCATCACTAAAGCTCCTGTAAGTCATTAAAAGAATAAGAAAGACTATTACAAAATTCCATGCAGAAATGCCACTGAGATGAAACAGACCAATTACTTAAAAAACTACAACCCACCAAAGCAATTAAAAAAAAAAACCAGGTAATTAAAATAGTCTGTGACTATTAAATAAATTGAATTGCTAATTTAATAGCTCCCAACACACACACACATGCAAAATCCCAAAGCCCAGGGATTTCGCTGTAGAATTTTACCAAGTATCTTAAGAATTAACAAGAATTATATACAATGTCCTCCTGAAAAACAAAAGAGAATGCATTCCTTTTTGATGTGTTTAATGACGCCTGTATTACTCTAATCTAAAAGTTAGACAAAGTCACTACAAAAAAGAAAATCATAGACCAATGTTTTTCATGTAATTTGACCCCCAAAATTCTCAAGAAATTGTTAGCAAATCAAATGCAGGCATGAATAAAAAATTCATACAACAAGACCAAGTTTAGATTTTTCTATGTATGAAAGATATTTTCTAGGTACTGTATCAAGATTTGAAAATCAGTCAAAGCAATACACTATCTCAACATCATATGATCATATCAACTAATACAGAAAAGACATCTTATACAATTAATTACATTCCCCATCATGGGGCAGAAAAACAAACAGATTCTTACCAATCTAGGAACAGTGAATTCCCTTAACTTTGTATCGACCATATTTAAAAAAAAAAACAAAACTATATCTAACATTATCCTTGGTGGTGGATGACTGAATACGTTATCCCTACAATTCAGAAAATCCAAACTCGTAAGAAGTCCTACTTGATTCAACTCTTGAACTATAGTTAAGACATTATTCCTAGTCAGAGGACCAAGTTCAATGTGAGACTCACCCTCTGTGCTCCCTTTCTGTCAGAGGAAGAATCCCTGATTTGTCTTTTAATTGTCAAATGTCTCAAACTAAGTGTCTCATGAATTCTGTCCTACTTTCTACTTGCAGATGGTGAGAAAGAAAAATGTTGTACCAGTTACCATATTTTAAATATCATTCTCTCTGAATTGTAGCACAGCAACAGAATTCGAACAAACACTCTCATTCATATCTTCTCCATCATATATTCTGGCAAAATACATATCTTAGACTAAAGCTAACTTCTGCATATTCTTTTAAACATCTTTTGACTCTTATCTGCATTGGGGGATATAATTCAAATTCCTGTGGTTTTCATGTAAACATATTAGGATTTAGTACTCAATATGCTATTGCAGCTTTATTTTTCTGTGCTCTTTCTGTGAAGCGGTTTCCACTGTTCCCTCCACTGCTCAGTTCCTATGATACTTTCATGAAAACTTCACGCTGTATTGAGAGGCTTCTGAGTTCCTTTTCCCACTTCTTTCTCCTCTCAAATTCCTACAACTACTTACAGAGAATGTAAATGACCTTTTCAATAAAGTGATTCCTGAGTCTCAAATTCTAAAATGCTCATTTTATTCAACATGTTTTCATAGCAACAGCCACATTATGTTTCGGTCTGTAATCAATCTGCTTGCCCAACAATCTGGCTGAGCATAAGGGAGGCTCATTCTTCCCACCAATGATGCCTTTACCACAAAAGCATAAAAATCTACAAAACATAAAGTAAAACTTACCTTTATAAATGAAGAATCTGGATATAACATCCCCGATTTGTTGTGTGAATACACCAGGAAATTAGAGTCTAAAAATGACCTAATTCAACCAAAATAATAAACTTTGTTTCAATAACAGCATGAATAAAAGTAACTTTCAGAGTTATGAAATTTAAGAAAACTTTACTTTCCACTTTATAAGCTTAAATATGCACAAATTAAATGGGTTCCTTGGACTGCAAGAAGATCAAACCAGTCAATCCTAAAGGAAATCAGTCCTGAATATTCACTGGAAGGACTGATGCTGAAGCTGAAGCTCCAATACTTTGGCCACCTGATGCTTCCTACACCAGTCCCAGCACTGGCTTTCACTGGCCTGCCTCAGGTCATGTGCCCACCCCTGAATTGATCACTTCAGACAGCATGGGTAGCATGCACCAACTGGTCAAGTATAGGTCATTCACCAGCTCTTGGGACGAGAAGGCAGCATCAGTCCCACCCAAACCAATAGGATTTAGAATGAGAAAGGCGATTTAACAAGGAAAATCAGGATACTGTTTCAGAAGATGGGGAAATGGCTGCTAGGCAGGCTGCAAGGGCAGAGATGCGCACGCCTCAGGCTTTGCCGCCCCAGGCTGCATTGTGGAGGGCTTGTTCGGCCCTGACTCAGGCGCACTGCTATCTGCTTTCCTTTCGTTCTCCAGCTCCATGTGTGTGACACCAGATCCTGACTGGGAGCATCTGAGCCCCAAGCCCCTTTCCCATCCATGTGGAAGAGATGCCCCTAGCCCGCCCATGCCGTGCCTTGAAGACAAGGCCCTCATCACCCACCAGACAGCTGGTGGTGGCCAATATAAATTAATTCAGTTCTTGTCACTCAGTCCCTGTTAGTTGCCTTGGACACTCTGGTTTCATCTTCCTTGGCTCTGAGGTTGTATTTCTCTGGGGCTCTTTTTGCCTTTGTCCTCCCCTGTAGACTGAGGCTGGTTCCTTGGACTTGATGATGGTCCCTGACTTCTGCATCCCGTAAATCTGGACCTGGACTCGCCCCCGTGGCACTTCCTGAAATCATTTCGCCCAAACACACACTGAGACCCTTGCAGAGAAAAAGCCAATTCTGACTCCATGTTGGAACTGTTCCTTTGACTGGCTTTCTGTTGCTTTTGTTATTACAATCACACATAATGGCCTGCCTCAGAGGACCCTGCCCCTCTGTCAGACTGTTAAACTAAAGTGCCTTTGTTCAGAACCCTGTCCACCAGTAGATGGCAGGGAGGAAGAAATTAACATATCCCCTGCCTGAGGCTTGCCATTCTAGGAGATGTTTGCAAGATTAATGGCCTTTTTACTTTGCTTCCTCACCTCCCCCCATCTCTGATCTATAAAAGAACCTGGCATCTAGACCCCACACCTTCTCGGTCAGCTGGCTCCCCAAATACAGTCTCTTCCTTGCTTCAGTCCCTGGTCTCTCGGATTCAGTGGCCTGTCCCGTGGTGAGCAGAGTGGGCTTGGAGCACCAGTCCACCCTGACTCTCACCTCACATAAGGAACCAGCCTGCCCTCCTCAGAGAGTGAGCAAGGGAACCTGCTACTTGTCTTCACTCCCTCCTGCTGCAGCATGAGTCTCAACAAAGCCTTGCCTGAATTTCTGTCTGGCCACTTAACTACTTCTACTGACTAAAGAGTCCAAGGACCCTATTTCTCAAGGATTCCAAACATCAAGAAGCCTCTGAACACCAGGATAGAGAGAAACTAAAGCATTAACACAGTCCTTTCTTCATCACTACTTTTCTATTCATACCTGCTTTATTTGCTCTCATTTTTTTTTTTTAAAGTGAAGGAAGTATAGTTAATTTGTGATGATGTCTAAGACAAAAAGATATATATATATACACACATACACACACACACTTATATACATATATGTATACTGAAATGATATACTATGTATATCTTTATATATCAGTATATATAATGATTAAAGAATCTGAATGGCCCAGATGGGTTTAGGTGAAAGCATCTAGAGCATGAATTCTGGAACAAGGGCAGAGCCACCTTTTATAACTGTAAGCATTTAAATGGCGGTGGTGGAGTGGGAATCTAACAGTACTTCCTGGGGAAAAGAAATTAGAGGTAAAAACCTTCACAGATATTTGACAAGAATTATTAAAATGAGAAAAAATTAGTTTGTAAGTTTATTCATCCTAGGCTCTTTACCAAAACCACACCGTTTGCTTTTTTATATGAAACAACACACCAATCCGCCTTTATCAGTGTTATAAGGAAAATCAGGCTTCCTTGATAACTCAGATGGTAAAGAATCTGCCTGCAATGCAGGAGGCCTGGGTTAGATCCTTGGGTTGGGAAGAGCCCCTGGAGGAGGGAATGGCAACCCACTCCAGTATTCTTGCCTGGAGAATGCCGTGGACAGAGGAGCTTTCCGGGTTACAGCCTATGGGATTGCAAAGAGTCGGACATGACAGAGCAACTAAGCACATCAGCGAAATACAAGTAAGCACTGAAAGAAAATCAGTGAAAAGCAAATCAAAGGCAAAAGTCAAAAGCTAGCTTCTAATGAAGTAGCACTGATGGACAAAAACAATCTTAAGTTCAAGAAAAATTAATAAGCATTCCAAAGAGACCATTTGGAGAGGAAAAAAATAAAAGATACTATGAAACTAAAACACACGACATGTGAGTGCTGTGTCCCTTCAGTTGTGTTCAACTCTTTGTGACTCTATGGACTATGGCCCACCAGTCTCCTTTGTCCANTCATTTGGATCAGTTCTAATGAGATGGATGAAATTGCAGCCCATTATACAGAGTGAAGTAAGCCAGAAAGATAAACACCAATATAGTATACTAACATATATATATGGAATTTAGAAAGATAGTAATGATAACCCTATATGCAAAACAGAAAAAGAGACACAGATGTACAGAACAGAATTTTAGACTCTGTGGGAGAAGGTGAGGGTGGGATGTTCAGAGAGAACAGCATTGAAACAAGTATACTATCAAGGGTGAAACAGATTACCAGCCCAGGTTGAACACATGAGACAAGTGCTTAGGGCTGGTGCACTGGGAAGACTCAGAAGGATGGGATGGAGAGGGAGGCATGAGGAGGGATTGGGATGCAGAACACATGTAAATCCATGGCTGATTCATGTCAATGTATGGCAAACACCACTACAATAAAAAAAAAAAGTAGGAAAATGCAGATAGAGTTGATAAAGAAACTGAAAGCAGTGGATTTACATCTCAAATGGAAAGAGAATTTTTAAAAATATAGGATGTTATTGTATCACTTTAGGGTCTGGAGACACAAGAGAAGAGCATTAGAACCTGTAAGAAAAAATATGAATATAAGTATTACTTGAAAATTCTTTTTTATAGCAATAAATACTCAAAACATAGGAAGAAAACATCAATATTCAACATGCTATTTTCACGACTACAGAAGAGAGAAAGTGGTGATAGCCACAGAAAATAAAACTTCTCACAAATTAATGATGGAGCAAAAAGTGGAAAAACAGAAAGATAAAGCCATACACAGAATATAAATAACTCAAAACTAATGAATAAAAGATAATACTTTGGCCGCCTGATGCAAAGGGCTGACTCATTAGAAAAGACCCTGATGCTGGGAAAGATTGAAGGCGAAGAAGACGATGACAGAGGATGAGATGGTTGGATGGCATCACCAACTCAATGGACATGAGCTTGGAGAAATTCCAGGAGTTGGTGATGGACAGGGAGGCCTGGCGTGCTGCAGTCTATGGGATTTCAAAGAGGAGGAAAGACTGATCAACTGAACTGAATTGAACTAACTGAATGAGTAAAAACTAATTACCCTAAAATTTTAAGGAAAGCAAGTCAATGAGAACTGTGCATTTTCACTTTGAAAGACACTACATGTTATTAATAACCAGAGAACTGCATAATAAAGCAACAATAAAATAGCATTTGTTATCCACTAATTAACAAACATGAGTAAATATACGCATGTGGTTGAGAATGTAGAAAACAAATATCCTTTAATTTACTGTCATAAAAATTGATTATAAAGGTTTTGGAAAAAAAAAAAAAGAAAGAAACTGTCAGTATATAACACTTAAGAATCTTCTTATTTATAATCCAACACCTACACTGAGGGCTGGGAAGTCATGTCCAGGGATTTCAACTAGAGAGCTTTCTTGCTGTAAATAAGGGAGGATAAATAATCTATGAGATATAGTAATTTGATGGCTGTATATGCCTTATTGGTTTATAAGTCACAGTGAAGAATTCTGACAAAATGTAGTATACTGGAGAAGGAAATGGCAATCTACTCCAGTATTCTTGCCTGGAAAACCCCATAGACCATATGAAAAAGGCAAAAAGATATGACACTGGAAGATGAGCCTTCAGGTTGAAGGTATCCAATATGCTACCCAGGAAGAGTGGAGGGCAATTAATAATAACTACAGTACAAAAGAAGCAGTTTGACCAAAGCAGAAACAAAGTTGTGGATGTGTCTGGTGGTGAAAGTTCTATACTGTAAAGAGCAATACTGCATAGGAACCTGTAATGTTAGGCCCATGAATCAAGGTAAACTGGTAGTGGACAAGCAAGAGATGGTAAGATTGAACATCAACATCTTAGGAATGAGTGAACTAAAATGGATGGGAAAGGGCGTATTTAATTCAGATGACCATTATATCTACTCTTTTGGATAAGAATCCCTTAGAAGAAATGGAGTAGCCCTCATAGTCAACAAAAGAGTTCAAAATTCAGTAATTGGGTCAATCTCAAAAATGACAAAATGATCTGTGTGTTTCTAAGGCAAACCATTCAACAGCACAGTAACCCAAGTCTACGCCCCAATGGCTAATGTTAAAGACGGTGAAGTTGACTGATTCTATGAAGACCTAGGACACCTTCTAGAACTAAGATCAAAACAAGATGTCCTTTTCATCATAGGGGATTAGAAGGCAAAAGAAGGAAGTCAAGAGAAACCTGGAATAACAGACAAGTTTGACCTTGAAGTACAAAATGAAAGCTGGCAAAGGCTAACAGAGTCTTGTCAAGAGAACACACTGGTCATAGCAAACACTCTTTCCAAACAACCCAGCGGACCAGTCTACACATGGACATCAATAGATGGTCAATACTGAAATCAGATTGATTATGTTCTTTGTTGCCAAAGATGGAGAAGCTGTATACAGTCAGTAAAAACAAAACCTGGAGCTGACTGTGGCACAGATCATGAGCTCCTTATTGCAAAATTCAGGCTAAAGTTGAAGACAGCAATGAAAACCACTAGGCCATTCAGGTATGATCTAAATCAAATCCCTTATCATATACAGTAGAAGTGACAAATAGATTCAAGGGATTAGACCTGGTAGAAGAGTGCCTGAAGTACTATGGATGAAAGTTTGTAACAGTGTTGAGGAGGCAATGACCAAAACCATCACAAAGAAGAGGAAATGCAAGAGGGAAAAGTGGTTGTCTGAGAAGGTGCTAAAAATAGCTGGGGAAAGAAGAGAAGTGAAAGGCAAGGGAGAAAGGAAAGATATACTCAACAGAATGCAGAGTTCCAGAGAATAGCAAGAGAGATGAGAAAGACTTCTTGGGCAATGAAAACAAAACAAAACAAGAGAAAAATAGAAAGGGAAAGACTAAAGATCTCTTCAAGAAAATTGGAGATAAGAAAGGAATATTTCAAGTAAAGATGGGTCTGATAAAGGACAGAAACATTGAAGATCTAACTGAAGCAAAAGATATTGAGAAGAGGTGGCAAGAATATGCAAAGGAACTATACCAGAAAGATTTTAATGATGCAAAAAGCCACGATGGTGTAGTCACTCACCTAGAGCCAGACATGCTGGAATGTGAGATCAAGTGGGCCTTAGGGAGCACTGTTATGAGAAAAGTTAATGGAAGTAATGGAATTCCAGCTGAATTATTCAAAATCCTAAGAGATGATGCTGTTAGAGTGCTGCACTCAGTAAATCAGCAAATTTGGAAAACCCAGCAGTGGCCACAGGAGTGGAAAATGTCAGTTTTCATTTTAACCTCAAAAAAGGGCAATGCCAAAGAATGCTTAAATGACCTTACCATTGTGCTAATTTTACATGCTAACAAGGTTATGCTCAAAATCCTTCAAGTTAGACTTCAGAAGTACATGAACCATGTAATTCCAGATGTACAAGCTGGGTTCAGAAGAACTAGAGGAGCCAGAGATCAAATTTCCAACATTCGTTGGATCATGAAGAAAGCAAGGGAGAAACAGAAAAACATCTACTTCTCCTTCACTGACTATGCTAAAGCCTTTGACTATGGATCACAACAAATTGTGGAAAATTCTCAAAGAAATGCTTGTACCAGACCACCTCACCTCTCTTCTGAGAAACCTATATGTGGGTCAAGAGGCAACAGTCAGAATCAGACATGGAATAACTGACTGGTGCAAATAGGGAAAGGAGTAAGAGGTTGTATATTGTCACCCTGCTTATTAAACCAATAAGCAGAGGGCATCATGTGGAATGATGGGCTGGATGAAGCACAAGCTGGAATGAAGATTGTGGGAGAAATATCAACAGCCTGAGATGTGCAGATGATACCATTCTAATGGCAGAAACTGAAGAGGAACTAAAGGGCCTCTTGATGAGAGTGAAAGAGGAGAGTGAAAAAGCTGCTTAAAATTCAACATTCAAAAAACTATGATCATAGCTTCTGGTCCCCTCACTTCATAGCAAATAGATGTGGAAAAAGCAAAAGCAATGACAGATTTTATTTTCTTGGTCTCCATAATCACTGAAGACAGTGACTGCAGCCATGAAATTAAAAGACACTTGCTTCTTCAAAGTAAAGCTATGACAAAAATAGACAGTGTACTAGAAAGCAGAGATACTGCTTCACCAACAAAGGTCCGTATAGTCAAAGTCATGATTTTTCCAGTAGTCATGTGCAGATTTGAGAATAGGCCCATAAGAAGGCTGAGTGCTGAGGAATTGATGCCTTTGAATTGTGGTTCTGGAGAAGACACTTGAGAGTCCTGTGGACTGCAAAGAAAGACTGCAAATATCAAACCTTTATCCTAAAGGCAATCAAACCTGAATAATCAATGGAAGGACTGATGCTGAACCTGAAGCTCCAAAACTTTGGCCAGCTGGTGTGAAGAATCTGCTCATTGGAAAGACACTGATGCTGGGAAAGATTGAAGGCAAACAGAGATGAGGGTGGTGGAAGATGAGATGGTTAGATAGCATCACTGCATCAGTGGACATGAATTTGAGCAAACTCTGGGAGATAATGGAGGACAGGAGAGCCTGGCATGCTGCAGTCCATGAGGTACCGAAGAGTCATACATGACTCAGCAACATGCAGATTGCTAGAAATGCACTTGGAAAACAGTACTTGCACAGTAAATGTCAGTTACTGTTGTTCTTGTCATTATTATTATTATTGTTATGACTATTTTTAGCATTCATCCTTCTTGATCCAGAAGTCCATTAATTTATACCATCTGTTATGTACCAAAATCTATATGATATAAAAATACATGGATGAGGATGCTTCTTGTCAGAGTCTATAGTGACAATCCCTGGAAATAACCTCATTACCCATCAATACTATAAACCATGCATTCTCACTACTAAAAATGAGTGGAAATATACATACAGAGAAAGGAAATATATGCTGCTATTAAATAAGACACTTGCAGAAGACAATGTGAATTTGAACAAAGAAATCCTTTTTTGGGTAGGTTTCTGTATATTTTATTTCAGGTAAAGACGAAATTTAGATTAGAAAGTCATGGAGTGATACACACAGGTTATTGATGTTGGTTTCCTCACAGAAGAAAGCAGAAATATGAAGACATTAAAAGTATATACTATAGCAAAACGAGACAAACTGAGAGTGTAACATCAAACAAAATGCATGAAGTCACATAATTATGTAAAATGACATGAAACAAACAAACTCAATTATGGGCAGATAACATTAGTTCATTTATAACTGTAATGTAATTAAAAGTAAGGCATTACATAAAATGATGTTCATGTATTTCATATGCTCTAATATTTATATCATTATCATTGAATCTGAATATTAGACTTAAAATCTAATGATAATGACTCAAAAGTCTAATCTGACGTGAATTAACGAGAAGACATGTTAAATAAAATACTCATGCCTTTGAATGTTTAGGCTTTAATGTAGACTCAGTTATAGGAAGCCATTAAAAACTTAAGAAACTAAAAACAACTCTATGAAAAGAAGAATGTTCACTTACTGTTTTTCAAGTGGGAGAGTGTATGCTTTCTTGGCAATTTGGATGGAATAGGTGACCTATGGCAAAGGATTCAGAGAGAAAGTAATTATTAGATATTTCAAATCTCTGAAAGTCAAAAGTCCTAATTTTAAAAATATGTACTCTTTCATATAAAAAGGGATGATATCATGTATCAAAATTATATATACTGGAGAAGGAAATGGCAACCAACTCCAGTCTTCTTGTCTGTGAAATCACATGGACAGAGGAACCGGCAGGCCACAGTCCATGGAGTCTCAAAACAGTCAGAACTGTCTAAGAGACTAAAAATAACAAAAACAAACTGTATATCTACATTTCTACAGAGATATCCTATTACAGTTATCTTTCTTCAATCTTGGAACATATGACAGAATTAACCATAATCCAAGTTACATAAACTCTAGGATTATAAATCTACTGCAAAAGTAAGAGCATTAGTTATTAGCATCAAAGTCTCATAAACAAATTTTCCTTAAGATGGCTACATTTAGAAATGCTGAGTAAACTTGAAGAAATTTGAGTTTTCTGATCATTCCTAACTTTACAGTTTCCAGAGAAAATAAAAGGAAAATTAAAGAATACCAAGCAAGTTCCCTTCTAAGATAAAACAAAATTAAACTAAAATCTGATGTTCACCTAAAGGCACCATTCAGAAAACTAAAAGACAATTCTACTACTAAAGGATGATACCTGGAATTTAGATTCTATTGGCCAGTTCATATTTGTGTGAGTCTCACTTCTAACAGTACATCTCTCACCAAATGTTCTGTTTTACCTTCTTCTCAGAAATCAAGTATTAATGTTGGGAATCTGAGCTACTTCAGTTTATTTATTTTTTCATTAATTCTACCTCTTCATTTAAGGAGAATCTTTAAGAAATTTTAAGATTATTGTTATTTTTCTATTTTTAAATTTCCAGCCATTCTGTCACCTACTTATTTGTGGATAGGAGTATATTATGCTATTATATAAACTTGAGAGCATGATACACGTTTTTCTTTGCAATTTTTTCATTCTCATTCACTGTTTATTATTCAACATTGATTACAGTTTATGATCTCTCCATCAACCCATGAACCATGTAATATATTTTTAAATTTTCAAATACATTTCTCAGTCTTTTTGTTAACTTTTAACCTCACTGTACTGTTCCCAGAAAATGAGTGCTATACTGTCCCTATATGTTTCTCATTTATTTATTTATTCTCCTTGCTGTGCTAATTTCATTAAATGACATATATTCTTGAAAAGTATAAGAAGTATTCTTCAGAAGCATTATTTACAATAGAGACCGAGCATACGTGCAGCTTGATTAGAAAAGTTCTGTTTCTGTAGATAGTGACAAGTTTGGGTGTTTCTGACTCTTGGTTAAAACAAGGGCATTGAGACTTAAAATTAATGCAGTCTACAGTACAACCCACCCACCCCCACCACCTGGGCAAGGTTAGCTTCTGTTGTGTTTCCCTAACTAGTTCAAAAAGGCCAGCTTGGTTACTTAAGAGGTCACTGAAAGCTTTGTAAGGAGTTCTCCCAAAGCCAAGATTACTCCCATAAATCTTCTGATTTTAAAGCCAGAGTCTCAACGTATTCCCAGAGCACAGGCTCACATGGAGCTAACTCATGGGGAAGCTTCCTGGATTCCTGATACTTACTTGAATTCTCTTTTTCTTGCTGCAACATAGCTTTTATCTGTATATAAAACCTTCATATGTGATATCCATAGAGTCTAGTGTGTCTAAACAAAGAGCAAAAAGGGGAAAACTTCATTGGGGTCACTTTATTCTTCAATAAAATGCTTACTTTTCTTGCTCAAATGTTCCTTCCCCACATGAAAAATTTTAACATTGGTCAATCAACATTTGCGAAAAAATTTAAAGGTCTCTCTATGGAAATGCATTTGAAAATTTCTCTCTGCTGTGCCATCAGTTTTCATGCTATACATGCTGATGACATTGTATTAAATTCATAGAAATTTAGAAGCATTATATGTTCCTTGAGAAATGAATATTTTAAAGCAAAGGATGTTTATCTCATAATATTGTGTGTGTGTGTGTGTGTGTGTGTGTGTGCATGTATGTGTACCAAATGATCTCTTTTTCCTGCTATTATCATGGAGCTTCATGCTTTCTTTTGGAAGCATTTTCACTATACTTTTTCATTATACTCTCCTCAACATTTCAGTGCCTCCCAATGATCATTTTGGGGGATATAATAGCTTTTATAAATACATAGTCACTGGTGTTTCTTGGTGCCACAAAGTGAGCCAGTCAGAACTAAACCACTCAGTCTATAAAACCTGCCCCAGTGTCTAACAGTTTTTCATTTAACAAAATTTTGAGTACATTCCTCTCAGATCATGGTACTGGGGTTGTAATTGGATTCCTACCCCATCCCTGTGTCTTTACATTAACATTTTTGCCTTCTGGAAAACAAAGTGTCCTATCCAAAGCTGTTCTTATTAAAAGAGAAGTAAAACCAGAAAAAGACTGACAACTAATCAAAATGATTCACAGTTGATATACACATGTGCAATCTCTTGTTAAGGCTTAGCTAAAAAACACCCGTTAGACATGAAGCATTCACTGGGGATGTTCACTAGAGCAAAGATAAGAAGACTGAAGAGACTGAAGAGGAGACCTCAGGTCAATAAGCTATTTTTGTGAACAAGAGTCAAATAAAATGCAACTATTTTGGTAGACATTTGCATTATTTATCAACAACTTTTTATAGTGGCTTGACTCTTGATTCTATTGAGATGACTATTCAGGAAGGTTTATGAAACTATTTTCAGTTCAGTGACTCAGTCGTGTCTGCCTCTTTGAGACTCCATGAACCTCATACCAGGCCTCCCTGTCCATCACAAACTCCCAGAGTTCACCCAAAGCCATGTCCATTGAGTTGGTGATGCCATCCATCATCTCATCTTCTGTTGTCCCCTTCTCCTCCCTCCCTCAATTATTCCCAGCATCAGGTGGGATAATTTTCCAATGAGTCTGCTCTTCAAATCAGGTGGCCAAAATATTGGAGTTTCAGCTTCAACATTAGTCCTTCCAATGAACACCCAGGACTGATCTCCTTTAGGATGGACTGGTTGGATTTCTTTGCAGTCCAAGGGACTCTCAAGAGTCTTATCCAACACCATAGTTCAAAAGCATCAATTCTTCTGCACTCAGCTTTCTTTATAGTCCAATTCTCACATCCATACGTGACTCCTGGAAAAACTATAGCCTTGACTAGAAGAACCTTTATTGACAAAGTAATGTCTATGCTTTTTAATATGTTGTTTAGGTTGGTCATAACTTTTCTTCCAAGGAGTGTCTTTTAATTTCATGGCTGCAATCACCATCTACAGTGATTTTGGAGCCCAAAAAACAAAGCCAACCACTGTTTCCACTGTTTCCCTATCTATTTGCCATGAAGTGATGGAACCAGATGCCATGGTCTTAGTTATCTGAATGTTGAGCTTTAAGCCAACTTTTTCACTCTCCTCTTTCACTTGTATCAAGAGGCTTTTTAGTTCTTCTTCACTTTCTGCCATAAGGGTGGTGTCATCTGCATATCTGAGGTTATTGATATTTCTCCTGGCAATCTTGATTCCAGCTTGTGCTTCTTCCAGTCCAGTGTTTCTCATGATGTACTCCACATATGAGTTAAATAAGCAGGGTGAAAATATATAGCCTTGACATACTCCTTTTTCTATTTGGAACCAGTCCGTTGTTACATGTCCAGTTCTAACTGTTGCTTCTTGGCCTGCATACAGATTTCTCAAGAGACAAGTCAGGTGCTCTGGTATTCCCATCTCTTTCAGAATTTTTCACAGTTTATTGTGATCCACACAGTCAAAGCCTTTGGCATAGTCAATAAAGCAGAAGTATATATTTTTCTGGAACTCTTCCTTTTTCGATGATCCAATAGAAAGCAGCTTGAACATCTGGAAATTCATGGTTCATGTATTGCTAAAACCTTGCTTGGAGAATTTTGAGCATTGCTCTACTAGCGTGTGAGATGAGTGCAATTGTGCAGTAGCTTGAGCATCTGTGGCATTGCCTTTCTTTGGGATTTGAGTGAAAACTGACCTTTTCCAGTGCTGTGGCCATCGCAGAATTTTCCAAATTTGCTGACATGTTGAGTGCGGCACTTTCACAGCATCATCTTTCAGGATTTGAAATAGCTCAACTGGAATTCCATCACCCCCACTAGCTTTGTACGTAGTGATGCTTCCTAAGGCCCACTTGACTTCACATTACTGAATGCCTGGCTCTAGGTGAGTGATCACACCATTGTGATTATCTGGGTCGTGAAGATCATTTTTGTACAGTTCTTCTGTGTATTCTTGCCACCTCTTGTTAATATCTTCTGCTTCTGTTATGTCCATACAATTTCTGTCCTTCATTGAGCCCATCTTTGCATGAAATATTCTTTGTGTCTCTAATTTTCTTGAAGAGATCTCTAGTCTTTCCCATCCTATTGTTTTCCTCTATTTCTTTGCATTGATCATTGGGGAAGACTTATGTCTCCTTCCTATTCTCTGCAACTCTGCATTAAGATGCTTATAACTTTCCTTTTCTCCTTTGCTTTTCACTTCTCTTCTTTTCACAGCTATTTGTAAGACCTCCTCAGATAGCCATTTTGCCTTTCTGCATTTCTTTTTCAGAAAGAATGAAGGGATGGAGCTAAAGCAAAAAAAAAATCCTGTTGTGGATGTGACTGGTGATGGAAGGAAGGTCCGATGCTGTAAAGAGCAATATTGCATAGGAACCTGGAATGTTAGGTCCATGAATAAAGGCAAATTGGAAGTGTCAAACATGAGATGGCAAGAGTGAATGTCAACATTCTAGGAATCAGCAAACCAAAATGGACTGGAATGGGTGAATTTAACTCAGAAGCCCATTATATCTCCTTCTGTAGGCAGGAATCCCTTACAAGAAATGGAGTAGCCATCATAGTCAACAAAAGAGTCCAAATGCAGTACTTGGATGCATTCTCAAAAATGACATAGTGATCTCTGTTCATTTCCACAGCAAACAATATCAGCAATATCATGGTTATCCAAGTCAATGCCCCGACCAGTGATGTTGAAGAGCTGAAGTTGACTGGTTCTATGAAGACCTACAAGACCTTTTAAAACTAACACCCAAAAAAGATGTCCTTTTCATTATAGGGGACTGGAATGCAAAAGTAGGAAGTCAAGAAACACCTGAAGTAACAGGCAGATTTGGCCTTCAAGTACAGAATGAAGCAGGCAAAGGCTAATAGAGTTTTGCCAAGAGAACGCACTGGTCATAGCAAACACCCTCTTCCAACAACACAAGATAAGACTCTACACATGGACATCAGCAGATGGCCAACACCAAAATCAGATTGATTATATTCTTTGCAGCCAAAGATACAGAAGCTCTATACCGTCAGCAAAAAGAAGACTGTGAGCTGACTGTGGCTCAGATCATGCTTATTTACAAATTCAGACTTAAATTGAAGAAAGTGGGGGAAACCACTAGACCATTCAGGTATGACCTAAATCAAATCCCTTATGATTACACAGTGGAAGTGAGAAATAGATTTAAGGGACTAGATTTGAAAGACAGAATGCCTGATGAACTACGGACTGAGGTTCGTGACACTGTACAAGAGACAGGGATCAAGACCATCCCCAAGGAAAAAAAGAAATGAAACTACTTAGCCATCTAAAATTTGAAATATTTTATGATGTTACATATAAGATACTCTATAGTTAAGAAAAATAATGACAGGGCTGTCAGTAATTATCATAAAATTAACTCCTAACTCTACCCATAAAAGGAAAAGCCAACTACAACTCTCATACACACTCATTAAAATTTTATGTGTGTGTATGCATGTCTCTAAAACTTCCTTCAAATTTACTGCCTTTAGAAAGTGAGATAGCCATTCACTTTCTTAACAAGTCTCTGCACTGCCTAGATTTCATTTTACAACGTACATAAGGGACAAACTTTACCATGTTAGTCAGATCAAAAATAATATTACTTTCATTTTTGCAAACATATACATATGAACATATATGGTAAATACAGGCATGAAGATATTATTTATATACTGTTATCTTAAAATCATGCTACAAGTTAAATATTTGTATGGCCTCATTTACATATGAGATTTACATAGAAAATTTAGTAGACCATAGACTCCTTTTTGTGTGATACGAATTCAAGGCATTTCTTCTCTTTGAATCTGTATTTCAAAACTATTTCATAAGGTTTATATTTACTTGAGAAATGAAAAGAAAGCACTTGCTCTCCTCAGACAAAACGTCTCTTGAACACAATCTTTAGAACACAAAATGCCATGAAGGCATGCATCGATTTGGGTCTTGCACTCCAGTAAAAATAAAACACTTTTATTTTAAAGTGATTTGTTAATTACATGTGTTTCTGAAATACTGCCATCTTTGGTGTTTGTCTCAGTCTTCCGTGGCACTGTAATTTGTAGACGTGCTGTTTCAGAGTCTGCAGTAAGGAAAACAAGAGTGAGCATCCCCCAGGGCATGACCGCATCCTTTCTTACTTGTCCTCTCCTATCACATCACTTGTGGATCTTCCAAGCCCCAGTGCGCGCGCACCCGCGCACGTGCACGCGCACACACACACCCCCACACACACCCACACACACCCCCACACACAAACACACACACCCCAAAATATCATACTGTGTTTTAAGAAGATGTCCCCTGGACCCCATCCAGGATCCTCTCCCTACCCCCACCCCCACCTCATCTCCCTAGAAGACCTGTGTCCCCATCTGGGAGTGAAGGACAACTATACCTCCGACCAGCGGGCCTGGCAGAAATCTGAAAAGAAGTCTGAAACTGGGCAGGACTCCGACCAGACCCGCCCGGGGTCCCCCAGCCTGGCCTGGGCTTCTGGGGCCAGGAGGGCAACCCCTCCACCCCCACGCCAAGGGACACTGCGACGATGGGCTCCCCTCCTATCCGGCAGGGTCCTCACTTACAATGGCCCGCTGAGGCCAGCCGGCCCAGCCCTGTGAGGATTAGGAGGAGAGATAACATTGCGTGACCGGCATCGCCTCAGGGAAGGCGGTTGACTGGACGTAGCACGCGCTGTTCGCCAAGCAAGGAGGGGATTGGGCGCGTGGTCTGGGAGGGGCGGGGCTGGAGGATGGGACTGGAGAGGGGTGGGGCAGGAGAGGAGGGGCGGGGCTGGAGTAAGGCACTGGAGAGGGGTGGGGCTGGACGGCAGAGAGGAGGGGAGGGGCTAGAGTGGCGAGGGGTGGGGCTAGAGTGGCGAGGGGAGGTTTAGGGGTAAGAGTGGGAGAGGTTTTGGCCTCTTGAGGCTCGAAGGCCGATGAAGTGTGGTCTGAGGCAGGGTTTTATTTGGTCTCTGAGTTCCCTCGAACTCTTATCGGACTTGTGGACTATAGCCTATGCTGCTCTGTCCATGGATTTCCCTGGCAAGAATACTGGAGTGGATTGCCTTTTCCTTGTCCAGAGCATCTTATGGGACCCAGGGAAGGAGCCCAGGTCTCCTGCATTGGCAGACGGATTCTTTACCACTGAACCAACTTGGAAGCCCATGATTGAAATAGATGGCTACAAGACCCTTAAGAAAAACATCCTTGGATTGTGAAACTGGCAAGGGTTGCACTTCATTCTCAAAAGGAGTTGCATACACCTTCTAGAGAGTTAGCAGTTATACATTTTTAAAGGAAGTTTGGGCTTCTCAGGTAGCACTAGTGGTAAAGAACCTACCTGCCAATGCAGGAGTCTCTGGAGCTGTTGGTGAGATCCTGGGTTGGGAAAATCCTCTGGAGGAGGAAATGGCAATCAACTCCAGTATTCTTGCATGGACAGGGGAGACTGGCAGGTTACATACAATCCATAGGGTCACAAAGAGTCAGACACGACTGAAACCATTTAGTAAACACCCAAGCAAAGGAAGTGTCTGTTTGCATGAGTCTGGGAGATAGAAGTCCTCCTTCATTTCTGGTACTAGAGAAGATCAATATTTTTATCTTATAGGTTTTTTACCCTTACATTATGTATAGAAAAACAACAGATTTGTCAACTAGTTTACACGAAAATTGCGTGTGTGTGTACTGAGTTGTGTCTCACTCTTTGCCACCCTTATGGACTGTAACCAGCCAGGCTCCTCTGTCCATGGAATTCTCCAGGCAAGAATACAGGAGTGGATTGCCATTTCCTTCTCTTGGGGATTTTCCTGACCCAGGGTTTGAATCTGTGCCTCCTGCATCATCTGCGTCTTCTGCATTGGCAGGCAGATTCTTTACCACTGAGCCACCTGGGAAACATGAAGATTTCTGAAACTGTTAATGACTAAGCAGCTGAAACGATCGTGACAAACATTTGTGAGAGGCCAACTTGTACAAGATTTGGGAGATAATATGTTGGGTTGAAGCTTTGTTGGTTTCAGGTATTTATGGGCTAGAAAGTATCCAGACTTGAAAGTATTCATGGAAATAAAAGTCTGGATCCCTAGAATTTGAGCTGAACACACATTTTCAGATGATGGTAGATACCAATACTATACATGGAGAATGCTAAAGATGCTACTAAAAAATTACTAGAGCACATCAATGAATTTGGTAGAGTCTCGGGGTACAAAATTAATGCATAGAAATCTTTGCTTTTCTAAACACTAGCAATGAAACAGAAATTAAGGAAACAATTCTGCATACCATTGCATCAAAAAGAATAAAATACCTTGGGATAAACTACCTAAGGAGACAAACAGACCTGTACTCTTAAAACTATATGACACTGATGAAAGAAATTGAAGATGCCACAAATGGTTGGAAAGATATATCATGTTCTTGTATTGGACGAATCAGTATTGTTAAAATGACTATACTACCCAAGACGATGTACAAATTCAATGCAATCCCTATCAAATTACCAATGGCATTTTTCCCATATCTGTAATAAATTTCTTTTAATTTGTATGGATGCATGAAAGACCCCAAATAGCCAAAGCAATCTTGAGAAAGAAAAATCGATTTTGAAGAATCAGACTCCCTGAGTTCAGACTATACAAAGCTACAGTAATGAAAACAGTACGGTACTGGCACAAAAACAGAATTATAGGTTAATGGAAAAAGATTGAAAACCAAGAGATAAACTGTATACACCTAAGATCAACTAATCTATGACAAAGGAGATGAGAACTTACAATGGAGAAAAGACAGCTTTTTCAAGATATGGAAGCAACCTAAATGCCCATTGAGAGATGAATGGATAAAGAAGAAGTGATACATTTATACAATGGAATATTACTTAGCCATAGACTAGAATAAAATAATTCTTCTTACAGCAACATGGGTGTAACTAAGGATTATCATAAGTGAAGTATGTCAAAGACAAATATATAATACCACTTATGTGTGGACCCTAAAGGAAATGATACAAATGCATTAACATACAAAACAGAAATAGACCCACAAACATAAACAGCAAAGATATGGTTACCAAAGGGAAAAAGTGATTAGGAGTTTGGGGCTAACATATACACACTACTATATATAAAACAGATAACCAACAAGGACCTACTGTATAGTACATGGAATTATACTATTTTTTGACAACATATCAGGGAAAAAAATCTGAAATACATATATATATATTATTTGCATAGAATATATATATATTATATATATGAAATACATATATATAATATAAATATATATATTATTTGCATAGAAAATCCCATGGATGGAGGAACCTGGTGCAGGCTACTGTCCATGGGGTTGCAAAGAGTGGGACACAACTGAGCGACTTCACTTTCTATATATGCATAACTGAATTACTCTGCTGTACACCTGAAACTAATACTGTATATCAACTATACTTCAATTAAAAAAAAAAGAAGAGAATAAAATAAAGGATTGGCTTCCCAAGGGAGGAAGGCAGCCAATGGCAGCCTCAAATTCTTAGCTGATTTAAGGTCTGTCTATTTTTGAGCCAACTACATGACCTTCTGGAAAAGTAACAGCTCAATTACCAAGCAAACAGTGGTAAAAAGACCTAACCTTTGTCTCCTTTAATGAGCAATGTTTGCTCACCAGCTCCTTTGCTCTGGAGCAACTTTTCTGAGTTGGCAGAAACTTTGTCAAGTCTTCATTATGATCCTAACCTCCTGTTACTCAATACTACTTCCTTCTTCATCTCACACATTTTGCTCCCTAAAATCATTCCGACTCTCTGGCTCTTCCTCAGCTTCTTCTTCTTGGAGAATACAATGGAGATGGTCACAATTGACTCATTACTGCCAACACAATGATCACTTCCTCTATTCTCATTCTACCTGATCTCTGAGTAGTATTAAAATTACTCACTAATATCCCACTCTGAATTTCTATTTTATTTTTATCAGTATAACTATACAATCTTCTACCTACCATACACTTCAGTTTTATTTTCTACTTGAATTCTTTTCTCCTAATCCCCAGATCATTTGTATTGCCCTCAATTCTATTTTGAATCACCTTTTCCCCCCATATGCATCTCTTAGTTGATATTATTCACTATTTTTCCTTGGAATTTCCTTTTTTTGTGTGTCTTCATAAATCTATATATTTCACCTCAAACTCTGGAGCACCAGACTCTTATTACTAACTACCCATTCAGTACATATACCTGCTATTCCACAACCACCTCCAGGACAACATATATTTAAACTGAACTCATTATTTCCCATTCCCATTTCAATCTGTTTCTCATAAAATTGGTAACCTCTCATCACAGTGGCTTAATCAACTTAACAATTTCATCAAGCTCCATGTTAATCTTCATATCAAATTATTCAATAAACCTACCTTCTTCCTAAATATATAAGGTATCTTTAATTGTTTAAAGGTATCATTAAAGGTATCTTTAATTGCTTAGTTTCTCTTTCCACCCTCTAATCCTGAGTATGTAGCTAATTTTTTCCCAAACTATGTAAAATTCCCCTTAGTGAATTTATTGCTTCCAGTTCAGTTCAGCTCAGTCACTCAGTCATGTCCAACTCTTTGCGATCTCATGAATCGCAGCACGCCAGACCTCCCTATGCATCACCAGTTCCCGGAGTTTACTCAAACTCATGTCCATCAGGTCGGTGATGCCATCCAGCCACCTCATCCTCTGTCGTCCCCTTCTCCTCCTGCCCCCAATCCCTCCCAGAATCAGGATCTTTTCCAATAAGAACTCATCGCATGAGGTGGCCAAAGTATTGGAGTTTCATTCAGCATCAGTCTTTCCAATGAACACCCAGGACTGATCTCCTTTAGGATGGACTGGTTGGATCTCCTTGCAGTCCAAGGGACTCTCAAGACTCTTCTTCAACACCACAGTTCAAAAGCACCAATTCTTTGGCGCTCAGCTTTCTTCATAGTCCACTCTCACATTCGTACATGACCACTGGAAAAACCATAGCCTTGACTAGACGGACCTTTGTTGGCAAGTAATGTCTCTGCTTTTTAATGTGCTATCTAGGTTGGTCATAACTTTCTTTCCAAGGAGTAAGCATCTTTTAATTCCATGGCTGCAATCACCATCTGCAGTGATTTTGCAGCCCAGAAAAATAAAGTCTGACACTGTTTCCCCATCTATTTCCCATGAAGTGATGGGATCAGATGCCATGATCTTAGTTTTCTGAATGTGGAGCTTTAAGCCAACTTTTTCACTCTCCTCTTTCACTTTCATCAAGAGGCTCTTTAGTTCCTTTTCACTTTCTGCCATAAGGGTGGTGTCATCTGCATATTTGAGGTTATTGGTATTTCTCCCGGCAATCTTGATTCCAGCTTGTGCTTCTTCTAGCCCAGCTTTTCTCATGATGTACTCTGCATATAAGTTAAATAAGCAGGGTGATAATATACAGCCTTGATGAACTCCTTTTCCAGTTTGGAACCAGTCTGTTGAATGTTCAGTTTTAAATGTTTTTTCTTGATGTGCATACAGATTTCTCAGGAGGCAGGTAACTTGGTCTGGTATGTCCATCTCTTAAACTATTTTCCACAGTTCATTGTGATCCATACAGTCCAAGGCTTTAGTGTAGTCAATGAAGCAAAAGTAGATGCTTTTCTGGAATTCTCTTGCTTTCCTCTGCCTCCTCTAAATCCACTTTATACATCTGGAA